GCCACTTCCCCCCTCATCAACTTGTAATCTTGCATAGCCCTAACAGGGCACAATTTTAAGATGGATCAGCGGCCCAAAGAAATTATTTTTCCATCTCCCATTTGGTCAGTCTTAGATCTCCTCAGATGGACAATGATCCAGTCTTCGAAGTCCACCGCATCATCCATCCATAAGGCTGAACGGGACTGGTCCATTTTAGAAGACCTCACTAACTCACTAACCCTAAATGCACCAAAAATGCTAGGAGTGTTGCCGCTCTAAACAGGGCAACATCATAACTGTCTTTGCAAACCTTATCCCAGACTTCTGCTAACTTGAGTAAAACATATGGTGAAATTGGAGTCCTCCTATCCTGAAGCCTACCCCCCTCCTTTCCCTATTCTTTTCATTTTCCGAATGAAAAAATCATTTGTGGGGTCCAGGCATCCCCACACCTTGGCATAAAAGGCCAAGGCAGACACCTTACACTGAATGCATCGAGGGGCTAGGCCTTTTTGATACAAATGCACTCCATGTTGCTGCAGGTGATCCACTATAATAAGCCAGGGCTGACTTAAACCTTCCAGTCCGCAGAAAGCAAAAACCTCATTACAAGCAGCAGCATAACTGCACCTGATGCTAGGTGCCACTGCCAAACTGATGGCCCTGTTTTCTTCTATGCACCAAGGCTCCATACCTCTTTTGGCAAGACATCTGGCCAAGCCTGGGCCCCAGGAGCCAACACCCCGAACTGGTCGATCTGTTGACAAGACAGGGCGTCAGCTAATATATTGTCTACACCAGGCACATGCCAAGCCTGGAAAACTATATTATAATGCAGACAATGCAACACGAAGGCCCAAAACAACCGCATGATCCTCCCAGATCTTGAGGAAAGAGAATTTACTACGTGAACCACCGCCATGTTATCACACCAAAAGGTTACTGCGGAATTGCCCCACATGCCTGCCCAAAGCAGGAACAAATTCCAAAAGGCTAAGGTTCCTAGTAATTCCCAATTCATGCCACTATCTTGGCCATAACCCAGCACATCACTTGCCCTTAAAATAAATTCCATAGCCCAAGGAACTTGCCACATCTGAATGCACATGTAAGTCTGCCCCAAGGCAAACTGTATCCCTCCAAAACCATACCCCATTGATGCTATCTAAAAAACACAACCATACAAACAAATCTTCCTTCATCCCAACCAAAAGGCACCTCCAACGATGCAGCTTCGAAAGGCCTTGCAAAGTTGCCTAAGGAAGGCTCTGCCTCCCGCAATGTAACTTTTTGACTAGCCAACATGGCCATTAACATGGCCTGAAGTCCACTAATTTGTCTTCCAGTAACCTGCTAGATTGTTGAACCGTGTCCAACTCGATTCCCAGAAAAGTGACCATAGCCCAAGGAACTTGCCACATCTGAATGCACATGTAAGTCTGCCCCAAGGCAAACTGTATCCCTCCAAAACCATACCCCATTGATGCTATCTAAAAAACACAACCATACAAACAAATCTTCCTTCGTCCCGACCAAAAGGCACCTCCAACGATGCGGCTTCGAAAGGCCTTGCAAAGTTGCCTAAGGAAGGCTCTGCCTGGTGCTACTACTTTGCATGTGAAATTGAGATGGCCAACCACTACTTGCAATTCCCGCAATGTAACTTTTTGGCTAGCCAACATGACCATTAACTGTAACCTGAAGTCCACTAATTTGTCTTCCAGTCACCTGCTAGATTGTTGAACCGTGTCCAACTCGATTCCCAGAAAAGTGAGAACTGAACCATTTTTTCTGCAGCAAGGGGCACTCCTAACTCTCTGGCTTACCTCTGAAATGACTTCTGGATCTGTCCACAATGGGAGGTCCCAGGCCTTCCACAAAAATATATATATATAATCACCTAAATAATACACTATATGAGAGAGCCCCACCCTGCACTTGAGTGCCCATTCCAAGAACGAGCTGAAATGCTCAAACGTATGCAGGCTATGGAGCATCCCATTGGCAAAGCCCTATCCATGTAGTAACGGCCTTCAAAGGCAAACCCAAGTACAGTGATGCCTCACTTGACAATGTTAATTTGTTCCAGCGCAATTGCTGTAGAGCGAAAGTATCATCAAATGAAATTTTAAAAAACCCATTGAAACGTATTAAAACCCATTCAATGCATTCCAATGGGCTGAATACCTGCTCGTCCAGCGAAGATCCTCCATACGGCGGCCATTTTTGGTTCCTGTATAGCGAGGAATCCGTCCTAGAAAACAGCGGGGAGCCATTTTGAAACCCGACGATCAGCTCTTTGCTGATCATTGTCAAGCAAAAAATTTGTTCCCGAAACTGGGAACCGATCAACATGAAACAAAATTCCCCCATTTAAAACATCATTTTGCAATCGCAAAAGCATTGACGTAATGCAGATTCGTCGTAGAGCGGGGTAATCCTCCAGCGGGGCACAACTGTAACTTAAAATCACTAGGATGCACCGGCATCAAATGGAATGCCAACTGAATGTCTCATTTAGCCAATTCTGTGCCATGCCGACATGCCCTAATAATCTGTACCGCTGTATCAAATGAGGTGTACTTAACTGAACACAATTCCCGGGGATCATATTATTAACTGAGCACCCCGCTAGGTATGACAAATGATGAATAAGTCTGTATTCACCTGGTGCCTTTTTAGGCACCACTCCCAGTGAGGAGACCCTCAGCGATTGAACCGGTAGTGACTTAAATGGGCCTAGCACTCTACCTTCTGCTACCTCCTTGCCAGTCTTTCTCCTTACTACCTCCTCCATTCCTATAACTGACTTTACATTTTTAACCATAGTGGCTACCCTCTTACCTTGAAATGGGATCCTAAAACCATACCTAAATCCTTCCCTCAAATAACTGGTCACATCTTTGTCTGGATATAACTCCAGCCATTCCTCCAATACCAAAATTTTAATTGGGCTGGGGCCCTTTTCCAGAGTTAGCCGACCCCGGAGGCTGCCTCTTTGTTTTCCCTTGCTCCCTATTTGCCCCTGCCCCTGGTCTCCCCCTGAAGCGGGTAAATGATCCATGTGAGGCACCGCAGAGGGAACATTGGTGCCTGAATCTACATGCCTTGCGCCCACAAAACCCTTTGGCATTAAACTCCCAGCAGACTAAGCGGGGTTGAACCGCCTGACCCGCCAATGTGTGGGGAATATTTAATGAAGCCACTTTTTGAATCAAATGACCACTGTCAAAGCGGTCCCCCAAACTGAGCAGGGACGGGGTTATCAACTGTAACCATAAACCCTGGGGCTACACATCCCAGTGCATCTCTGGGTGAATTGCCGCTCTCATCAACTCTATATCATAGAGAAACCACGCATGCCCCGGGAAGTCCACATCGGCCCAGTAAATCAAGTCCATATATTGAATCAGTGAAAAGACATGCAAAGGTTGATCCTTCACAATGATTCAGGCACAAATGAAGAAAGCTGGAAGCCAGTTAGCCCAGCACCTCTCAGGCTTATTTCTCCTAAATTTTTCCCTCTTTCTATCCTCCTCTTTGTCTCCCTTTTTTTCCTCCAATTGCCTATTTAGCAATGCAAAAAGATCCACATATTATCCCTTCAGATTTTTTCAACTGTGGCTGGCAGGAGATGGTCTCCTAGAGGCAGGGACTGATCCCCATACGGGAGGGCCCTGCTAGACACAGAATTATATCCCGTATCTGGGATGGGAGGAAGTGACTGCTGTCTAAATCCCTTACTAAATCCTGGAGCTTGGCTGGGCCATGACCACAGGGGGTAGAGTGCTGTCCAGGCAAAGGACTACCATGGCGGCAGCTCTGTGCTGTGTGGAGTGTCCATTACCACAATAGAAACTTCCAATGCAAAGAAAAGAGTTGGTGAAACCAGTTTTAAAATTCCCAGTGCTATCAAATTGATGGAAATAGGAAAATCTAGTTAAAATCGAATTCAGTATGAAATTTAATGTAACATATGTAAAACGAAGTTGATAACTACAGTACTCAAATTTTCAGCACCTCCTCCAGCCCCATGAATCACTGTTTGTTATATGCCATCAAGTTGCATCTGACATACAGTAACATTAATGGGGATTTCAAATATGTGAGATATTTAAGGAGCAGTTTTACCACTGGTGCACTCTCCGTGTTTGCATGGCCAAAAGGGGGATATGAACCTATGTCTCCTGAGTCCTAGTCCCTCACTCTATCCACTAGATCAGTGGTCCCCAACCTTTTCCCAACCAGCAGCGCTTGGGGGGCTGCTCACGCACATGCACATGGCACGCTCACAAGGGGCACTCACACGCATGTGCACAGCATGCTCGCAGGGGGCACAATGATGCTCACAGGGGAGTGCTTGCAGGGGGGCAGGAGATCTGTGTCTGTGACCCAGTCCTGCCTAGCCCACGGACCTCTGCCAGGTCAGGGACCAGGGGTTGGGGACCCCTGAACTTGATCGTACTAGTGCTATGCTACTTTGTCCTAATCACTTAATTTCACTGATAGCTTCCAATAATTCAAATAAATAAAGGGTATTTATTCAGTGGGAGTCTTGCTATTTGTTGTTGTTCCAAATTATATACCACCCCATAGTGCTAGAGCAATCTTTGGGTGGTTTTTGCCCCCTGATGGTCTGGTTACTCACTTTACCAACCTCAGAAGGAAGAAGGTCTCAGTCAACGTTGAGCCACCTGGATCCATGGGATTCAAACCCAGATTCTGAGCAGAGGCTTGACTTCAGTACTTCAGTTTAACTGCTACATCGCAGGGTTTATTCTTCTGTAAATAAATTTGGAAGGTAAATACAGATGACTACTTGACAAATAACATCATCATTTGATGAGCCAGTTGTGTATATCGTCCTGCTGCCAAGTGTGTGGAAAATCAACCTCTCTCCTACTTCTCCAGATTTTCCCACATGGGAAGCCCTTCAGCCAACCAGCTTACAATGCAGTTAACTTGCAGATTGTGATACGTTACCACTTACTGATAGTCATTTGTATGCATTTCTTTTGGGTCTACTGAGTTGTCTTGGGCAGCAGAAGAACACAGTGTGAGTTCCATCATCCTTTTACGTCTCACCTGTCTGACAAGAACAGCAAAGGAACAGTGGACACCATTATTAAAATACAGTACGTTTTGTTATTATGGAAAACTTTAGACCTGGAGATGTGCCATTATTGAAGGACAATAAACAGTAAGATCGAAAAGAGTCTTTCAGACCTAACAGTTTGAGTCAAAGGTGTGTAATAAATCTGAAATTCAAGATAATGAATCTGTTTAATTTAGACTTCTGAAACATTTTTTGAAATGAGTTGAAGATTTACCTGTCATCAAAATCACCTGTCTCAGCAATTGGAATAATGCTGTAGGAAACTTGGCATTTTATCATGTTGGATCAAAAAAGGCCTTCACCAGCTGCATCTCTATGTATCTAAAAATGGGCTGCCAAAATTTCCCCAAGAAGCTTCCATGCATGGAGGTGGTACATTTATCCTGTTGGTAAAGCTTCCTAGGCATAAAGTACTCAGAAGTTGTTTACCACTCCCTTCTTCTGGCAGAAGTACAGCTTCTCCAAGGATACACAGGCTGACTCGTCTCCTGAGCGTCAGTCACAGTAGAGAATCCAATTCCTGACCCCTGGTTCTACAGTCAGGTATTCCAACTCACTGAGCATTCCAGCCAGCAGCGACCAATGTATTATATTATTATTTGGTTTTCTGTTACGTTTATATCCTGGCTTTCCTCTACTGAACTCAAGGTGGTTCATTGATTCTTCTCCCCACTTAGTTCTCACAACAGTCCTATGAAGCTGGTCAGCACAGACAGTGTGCTTGGCTGAAAGTCACATAATGTGTTTCAGAGTGAACACATGTATCCAGTTCTGTTGAGTCCAAGTCCAATACACTAACCACTCTGGTTCTATTTAACCCTCTAATCGTTGAACCATACTCTTCTTTATTGCTCAGCAAATACAGGGTTTCAGAATAGATTGAGTTGTGCTACGTAAGATTATAGCAAAACCACCTCTAGTGGAGGTCTTGTCAGATCTCATAAGCAAAGTGGTAATGAGATGGAACTGCTGGAAACTTCCAAGATACAGCATAGGCTGTCCTAAGCAGAGATGTCTTGGATCTTTCACACTTTATCGTACAGGTTTTAAAATTCATGTCATCTCCAATCGCAAATTTTCTATCAAATAGGGTTCATGAACATTCCAAAACAGGGTATATCTATGCAAATCCTCATTACCATCACAAGAAACAGCTTTCCTTCTATACACTGGAAGACCTTGTGCTCTCCACTGTCGCACAGGGCATTTCATGGAATCCAACATATTGCTTCATCTTCTTTAGCCAGGAATGGCTATTGCTATCAAGAGCAACTACACTTTAAAATGGAATATTACACCACACTGTGATCTGCATTCCTAAAACATGTGAAGCAACTCCAGCGGCTTTTGAATTCTAATGTATTCTGTTGCTGCTCTTTGTTTTCTTTTGGTTCAGTTACGTACAGTACTTTGATTTTAAACTTGTTTTATTATTTTAGCTTCCTTTACAGCACTTGGAAGTATCTTCTCATTTTTGAAGAGGTATCAGTTATGAAAAAAATCAAATTAAATCAGAGAAATAATAGATCCTCTTCATTTACAAAAAGATAAGAAGCACTGCTCATCTTTTTAAAGATGTGAAGATGAGAGTAAATATAAGCATTCAACAAAAAAAATCATAGTCCTCCATTCTAATGGTATGTCCTATTTAAAAATGTGTTGAAGAACTATGTGCATCCCCAGACATCTTCTTCAGCCTTGGCTATAAATACATGCCTCATTTATTTTTTATGCAAGTCACTTCAGTGCACTGCCGATGGCACATAAGAGCTATGACAAGGAAAAGAGGCATACTGTCAGTTTCTGGTCAAAGCTGGCTTCTCTCGAGAAGGAAAAGGCCAACAGCCTTATTGTAAATAATTAGGCACCCCAGTGCAGTTTCTGAGGAAAAGAGACACACACAGAAATGGAAGAAAAACAAATCCAGAGCAGATGTCAGGAAGTACTTACTCGTCTCAAAGGGGAATAAATGCACCCATAGAGCTTCCTAACCATGCTAACAAGGTTTTACTGAGGTGAAATGATCAGAATGAGTAGTAAACCAAACCAAAATAAAATAAAACAAAATTCTAATTGGTTGGATTCTGTTAACGTTTCCAGTTCATATAAGCCGCTGAAAGAGATGCTGACCTATTTGTCTTCACAAACCCTAGACAAAGGTATGATATGACCAGAAACCTACGTACAAATGTTCACTCACTGGACTTAGAGAAGTTACTGTTTGGGACTAAAACACTCAGAAGAACTTCCAGACTTCCAGTCAGTACAGTGGAGCCTCGCTAGACAATTGCCTCGTGGGACGAAAAACCCACAAGACGATTGTTTTTTGCGATCACTATGGTGCCTTGCAATACGTTTTTTTTCTATAAGCGTGCTTCGCAAGACTTTTTTTTAGACCAATGCTTCACAAGACTTTTTTTTTTTAGATTGATGCTTCACAAGACTTTTTTTGAGACCGATGCATAGGGAACCTTGCAAGTCAATTTTTTCACAAGACAACAATTTTCGCGGAATGAATTAAAATCATCCTGCGAGGCACCACTGTATGTTCTCCAGTTCTGGGCACTAGTTGAAGAGATGCTTTCCTAAGCTCTGCTGATCAATCAAATACAGACCCACTGGTGCAATTTTCTCCAGAAATTGTGGTGAGAAATTATGAGGTGTGGTGTGTTTTTGCATCATGGGTCCTGTTCACCCACTATACTGCATTGTCTTATGGTAGAAAGGAAGGGGTATACTTTTCAACATTTCAACCACAATGCAGTTGCTATAGGTAAACATACAAATATGGACCATGAATCGAAATTTCATAGAGTTTAAAAATAATATATATATGGTTTTTGAAATTGTAAATAACAGGTTCTTTCTCAAAGCAATAAATGTCAGGAACATTACAGTGAAACAAAATAGGCATGTCCTAATTTTATTGCTCCCACTGAGTTTGAATTAAGAAATGTATTGCCTATGTATGTTATCATGACTCTGAGATATTTGGGGTATAATTCTGTAAGGTAGCCAAGAGTTATTTCTGCTCACTTAATAATAAGCTGTCTACCTCTATTCAAAAGGTTAGCTTTAATCAGAAATTAGTAAGGGTGGTGCTGTGGTCTACCAGTGACAGCAGGGCCCCTGAAACATCTCTGTGTGGATTCAGAGCAAATTCTGTGGAATTCGCTATGTGACCTGACATGAATTATTTGACCTCATGTTACTAAGCCTAGATGTCCTGCAGCTTCAGGGGCTTGCCTGAAAGACAGATGTTGCTCCACATTTGTGTGGTGGTGGTGGTGGGGGGTGGATGGATGAATGGATGGATGGATTTTGCACTATAATGTGCTCTGTAAGTGTCCAGGAGAACCTAAGAGTTTCCAAAAAAGCAACTTTTTCACCAGCTCTTTTTTTTGTAACCTTTTCACCCTTTAGCTAAGAAAGGATATTGTAACCTAGCAGTGCTCGTGAAGGCAGCAAAGGGGGTAGGTTGAAGTTAGACCAAGAAAGGCTTGGAGACCCAAAAAGTTGGGTTTGGGGTTCTGTAAGCTAAAAGCATCTCCAGAGTGCCCACTGTCCCTGCCCAGAGATATATGATGTAGGAGCCATAAGCTTTCATTGTCTGCCAAAATGTTTAAGCTCCACTCCTACATATGTTCAACTTGTATGCAAAATCTGTAACTAGATATAAATATTGTTTGTTGTTATCAGCTGTCAAGTTGCATCTGACTTGGGGGGGAATCAATGAATGAGTCATCCCCACAGTGCCCAGTCATTAACAGCTGTGCTCATCTCTTGAAAATAGAAGCCTGTGCTTTCCTTAACAGGAGTTTTTTTTTTCATTTGGTCTTCCTCTTTTCCTGCTGCCTTTAACTTTTCCTAGCATTACTGTCTTTTCTATTGAACCTTGTCTTCTCACAATGTGCCCAAAGTATGACAGTTTCAGTTTCATTATTTTTGGTTTTAGAGAGATGCCAGTTAAGCCCCCAGTGACCTTTCAAATGGAACCAATCCAGAAACTGAAATCTTAAGGACTTCCCAGTGTTCAGGGAAGTGGATAAAAACAACAATGCCATCAAATGTTGAATTTTCATTCCCACCCAAGAGCATGGCAGTGATGATCATTCAGTCCTCCAAAACCAAACACCTTCATTCATTTTAATAGGACCAATCTGTTCTAGCGATGTTGAAATGAATGGACACAGCACACTAGCAATGCTTGGTTGACTGTGACAGCTGTGTTGTGTACAAGCGGCATGGATGGGTGTACAGTAATAAATGGCAGAGATGGTATTTCCATCTACATTTTTCCTCTGTGTCTTTTTAAAATTGTATCACACCAAGAATATCTGCATATCCATTTTGATGTCCAAGGGATTTTTCTTTAATGTGAAAAATCCACAATGAATGGATTCTTTTCGGCTGTTAATTTAATTGATCTGCTTTGAGTCTTTGCCCATTTTATTATTACCTGCTTTACAGAATTAAACTTCAAGCTGTTTTCCTGACAGCAAAGGACAAGATGATTGATAACATTTACCTTCTGTGAAATCAAATGCTGTGATCAGAGAGCAAACCTCCCCTCAAACTGTAGTACCTCAGAGCAATTCTTATTCTGGATGCTTATTTATCAAACCTGTGGAAATATGTAAGAAATGTTTTATGAAATATGCCACACACATACCGCAGACCAATGGAAATAAAATCCTGAGCCAGGGCAGCATATTACTTACTAGAATGCATTATATTATACCAGTGTCAAAAATTGAGAAGATTTGTGCAGCTTATTTAGCATTTAACTCTTTAAAATCTTACAATGTCTTACAAACATTATAAGATTTCCACCAGTAGGGACATGTCAGTTCCAACTCCTAGGACATTGGACAATAGCCCCTTTCCCCTAGAATGGGGTGGGCAAAGTTCAGCCCTCCAGATGATGTGGGGCTACATCGCTATGCATTCCCTACCCTTAGCTGGGCTGGCAAAGGCAGTGGGATTTTCAGTCCAACAACAACTGGGCAGGTGATGCATTGCTCATCTCTGCCCTCAAGTGTTAGTTTTTTCTATCAGCTCCAGAGGCTGCAAGTTCGATTCCCCACTGTGCCTCCCAAGAGAAAAGGCCAGTCTGTGTTGTCTCGGGCAAGCTGCACAGTCCCAGGGCATCCCCAGAAGAAAGGAATGATAAACCACTTCTGCAGATTCTCTACCTGGGAAACCCTGAAAAGGGTCGCCGTAAATCTGAATTGACTTGATGACACATGATTATCATTATTAGATGCACATTGCTTAAAATAATAACAGAGATTGATGACCTTTTGAGAAAAGTAACCACACACACACACACACAGAGAGAGAGAGAGAGAGAGAGAGAGAGAGAGAGGTATATATTATTGCTATAGCAAATACTCTTTACACCCAAAACATAATCGATGGCAGTGATGGTCTTTCTCCTAATTTTCCAGTAGTGGTTTTGTGTTTTTTAAAATTTTCAAGGGTGCAACCGTTCCCTGCTTTTTAAACCAAAAGTGGGAGGTGTTTCCATGGGCTGTACACAACAGAAGATAACTGGAGGATCACAATGCCCGAGTGTGATGCACTCTGCAAAGAAATTGAAGGTTGGCCATGCTTTTAAGCTGAGTGTCATTTTCATTTCTCTGTAATTTTGTTTAAGATTGTTGCCTCAGGAGGATCACATGGAAAAATGATGGAAAATGTTATCTGTATCTCTCCATGTTAAACATCTGCATTTGAAAAGAGAAAATCTTTAAAACAGTAATATGTACATATAAAGGGTAAGATGACTCTAACTTTTCTGTCTCTCTCTCTCTCTTTTTTTTTACACCTATACATTCATTTTCCTGCAGACACAATTCAAAGGCATCAATTCTTCGGCGGTCTGCTTTCTTTATGGTCCAGCTCTCACTTCCATACATCACGACAGGAAAAACCATAGCTTTGACTATTCGGACTTTTGTTGGCAAGGTGATGTCTCTGCTTTTCAAGATGCTGTCAAGATTTGTCATCGCTTTCCTCCCAAGAAGAAGGCGCCTTTTAATTTCAGGGCTGCTGTCTCCATCTGAAGTAATCATGGAGCCCAGGAAGATAAAATTTGACACTGCCTCCATATCTTCCCCTTCTATTTCCCACCTATACATTCATTTTCCTGCAAGGAAAAGTTACTCAACTCTGGACAAATTGGTTTTCAACAAATAGGTGACTTCTGCATATTCAGAGGAAAAATATGATATCCCCGGCGTATAATTTAACAAACTTTTCTAAAACGAATATCACTGCAGCCACAGGTCAAGAAATGGCATTCTTGAAAATCTTTATCTGATCAGTATAAAAATTAAAAACGGTATTAGAATAAAGGACAGGGACTGGATAATAATCTCTGTGGTTCTTAGTCAGTAATGATATGTAGTTTTAGGAAATGTCAGCTGTAAAAAAATTCAACTTGAGTCAACAGGTCAAAAGCCCCTAAACAGAGAGTGTTGAATGCAAAAAGGATCTGTGCCCTAGCATGCTTCCAGTGAAGAGCAGTCATCGTTTTGCTATTACAAATGGAAATACACATCTTCCTTCAGAAACAAAATAATATTGGTGTTTCACTGCCAAGAAATATAAAGCAAGCTACACATTTTGCATCCCCTTTGAAGTGTGACTTGCTCACTCTCCACGGGAAACAGAGTTGGCTCCTGGAAGCAAAATTAGTTAGAAGCTTGCATTACAGAGAATTCATATTTGAAACACGCATCAGCCAATTAACTTATGAAGCTACTACAAACAGACATTTGAAAGCCACTGGGCCACAGCGTTCTTCTTTTTGTGTGGAAGGTACTGAGAACATGCCTTTGGGAAAGAAAATTACATACCATGCATGTTACATGTAATGAAATTCCTGTAGTTCAAAGTGCAGTTATTAGATACACACTCAAATCTGTCTCTGAGGTCCCCCTAAAATTCACTAGTGCCTCCTTGATTGCCTGCTGGTGTGTATTAAACAGCCATTTGGTTTGCAATGGCATGGAGAAAACCTCCCAATATGCACAGTGATCTACACATAAACAAGCTGTGCAAGCATCTGTCCGCACATGACTGGCAGGCCTTGTTGAGGCAGCTGCTGTCAGCAGCAATTTCCAACAGCTTTTTGGTGTTCTGTGTTCACTAGCCCTTGTGACAGACCATAGTTTATTAAGGAGTCTCCAGGACAACACAGTAAGGCAACTTTATCTGCCCATATAAGCAACACAGAAGTGCTCAAATTAGGTGGTAGGCAGTTTTCAATCTCTCCTTCCCCCCAGAAGTATGAAGTAAAAAAAAAGGCATGTGGCTAACTATCTGTAGGAATGGATGTATGCAGAACTATGAAGCAGTAAATGTAGGTGTCAGCATCCGGGTAAGTTCATTGATCATGCAGGAATAGCAATGGTATCAGACGCTCTCCTTCTGCTGCGGTGACAGAGGACGCACCACCACTGCCAAAACTGGCTGGACAAATAAACCAAAAAAAAACCCTTCCTGGTCAGAAGACTGTTTAATTTCCCAACAATCTGTTCTGTGCTTAATAGAGATGGGGATAGTCATAATGATCAGGTAAGCCAGAGCTGAGCAAAAGATCTCACCTCTGCTTTGCAATAAACTTGCAATGGTTTCCCCCAATCCGTTAACCATAATAGGAAGAAAATGTCTCCTCGGCCCATCCTGACCTGAAATAAAGAAATTCGAAATGTGGATTTTTGTGTGAATGGATTGTGAGCTCTGTTCTGTTCCAGTACTCAAAATAAGTTGTTGGCCTCTGCATTCTAGATGCAGCTGTGTGTCTTTCTGCACCTAATTCAAAATGGAGTACATCCTGTTCTCTGCCCTGACGTGAGCAATGCAGTACATTCCCTCTAGGAGATAGTGCTCTTCCACATCTTTCAGTGCTTAGCTAAGATTCTGGATGAGCTTGGATCCTATTGGGGATTAAGTATCCAGGCTAGGCCCTTGTACAAAGGAGCTCTCCACTCACTCCCTGTGCCCTTGGTTTAATGTGCAAGATCTCTTCAAACATGATGAACCTTTAAGCAAATTTTACCATTTCTGTTGTTGGATTGCAGGAGTGAAGTGGTCACTTCAGGCAGCAGAGCTTCTGAGCTGCCCCTTTTCCAAGTCAGGATCTCCTACTGCTCTGGAATGCCTCTGCTACATGCAGCTCACCGGAACATTTCCTTTCCTAAATGCTTAGCTTCCAGTAGTCCTCAGGACCAAGGCCCTTCTGGAAGGATGGCCTGGAAAATCCTCTATGCTGCTAGATAGACCATATTTCTGGTCATTTCTCTCATAGTTTCTGGCTTTTAGGATCTTCAGAGTCAGACTTTTAGGAAATAGAGCCAGTCTTGGGGGGGGGGGAAGGTGACCCTCAGGGTTTTGGTCTTCTTCAAGTCTGGGGAGGGTGCACGGGGCCTGTTAGGCAGGTGCCCCCTTCTTCACCTCTTCCTCTGGCTAGAGAGTGGATCGAGCAGATGCTGCCACTGTGTCCATCTTGGGCAGTTGGATGGGGAGGTGCAGATGCTGGTTGGATATGGTGTGGAGGGCACCACTGCATGATGTGTGTGAAGGCAGGACTTTGCTCCTTGTCTCAGATGATGAAAAACAGGGCTCCACCCCTTTGGACAATGCCACTTCATACAGCAAATGTACGATCAAACCTTTGACTTAAAAACTACCATGTTGGAGGAAAGCTAGGCTAAGCTAGAAACGCAGATCTGATATATGCAGAGAGAGGCCTGCTAGTTTTTAACACAGAAAAAAAAAATTTGAGTATTCCTGCAGCTGCAGTGAGGAACTGATCTGCAATCAGTTTTCTAAGCATTTGTTTTATACTTGTGCCGAAATGGAAGAGACATAGCTTTGACAAGCTGGATAGCTCTTTAGTTGTGCCATTGCATTTTCTAATAATTACTCATTTGATTGTTGGTCCAAATGGCGCTACGGTATTTGCATGTGTAATGACGATTTAGAAAAATGGTAATCTTTACTTCCTGAACAAATGAAAATGCTAACAGGTTTTATTTGAAAATCAGCTTGACTTGCCCAGAGGTAATTTGTGAGAAGATGTTTATCGCTTGCTAATAAAACCAAGTAAATGTTTTATTTATCTAACTCTTTCAAAAGAACAACCAGATCCTAGACATAGCCAAAATGATCAGCTACTCAGTTAAAACATTTGGCTGGCTGGCTGCAAAATGAGGTCTAAATTGATTATAGCATTTTAGAAACAGAGTTTGCTCAACTGGCAGGTTTACCGCCATCAGAATGATGGCAAGCCTGTTCACTGTGTGGCCAAAGATAGTTAGGCGGCAGCATTTTTCACTGCAGGAGTTCTCAGAAGAGCTATGTCTCGGATTGGCTCCAATGCTCTGGGAGGATGCGTGGGGGCCCTCTCTTCCCCCCCCCATTCCTCCTCTTTCATTTCTTCACCGCTACTCTCACTGCCCTCCAGACTCAAGATTAAGGAAAGTGACTGGGAGAGATCTATGTCTGAGGACTAGGGTAGGATGGCTTTTAGTGGCAGGGAGCAGGACAAGGAATCTGAAGTGCTCTTTTCTGGTTTGAGGGAATCTTGAGTGTTCTTCTTCAGCTCAGATTCTGAGATGAGCTTTAAGAGCCCTTGAGATTCATTTCCAAGTCTCAGCACAGAGAACACCTTGACTTTTCTACTTCTTAAGGATGCCAAGAATGTTTCTGAACAACACTGCAAAATGTGGTCTAACTCCAGATCAGTCCTAGGAAAATTACAGCTCTCTCTCTCTCCCCCCTCCTTCTTTTTGAGTTCCACTTCCTTTCAGCCTAGTCATCCTGTTCTGATCCCCATCCATATGCTAGATTTTTAATGTGCTGTATGCTCTACCTTCCGGAGCAGTTCAGATGTTATTTCCCTGACCCCTTGACCCTTTGTGAGAAGAAAATGGGAGCAGGTCCGTGCTTCTGAAAGATCTAAAGAATCTTCTGAAGGATCACGGTTGACATTCAATTCAAATGAATATCATTTAGTTAAGTATTTCTCCCCAAGAAGTAAGACTCAAATAAATCTGAAGAGTCAGAGAAATAATATCCGAACAATATTTGTTTGTTCGTTTTTTTTTTATTTTGAGCTGCCAGGTCAAAGTTCAAATCCCCATGGTCCACAACTTCAGTTTTTTAAGACTAGTCTCTAAGAAGTGTGACATTAAATCCTTTTTTTTTCCATTTGGGATTTTAACAGTTGCCATTTGCCAATTGGTGTAACACAGCTAACTGCCTTATTTGGATAATGCCATAGTTAGCTGGCAATCGCCCCAAATTTGCAGATGTTTGTCTCATGCCCGAAATAAATCTGCCAGCTCAAAACAATGCCAATGACAAGGTTACAAAATACAAGGAAGTGCCAAGTGGATTAAGGGCATTAACTGGTCATGAATACATCGGAACAGGCATAAGAAGTTGGTTGCCTGCCCTTACACTTTGCTCAAGCAAGAGAGGATGAGGATCCAGCACTTCTTTAATAAGGAGGAGAGATAGGAAACTTCGGAGCAGAAAGGTTCCTTTTGGACTGCTGCTCCCAGAATTCTCAGGCCTATACAACTCTTGCCTGTGCTAGCTGGCATTCGTTGTCCAAAAAGTGAGTTCTTCTCAGCTATGTTGACACTGAGCAGTGCTTCCCACTGCTAGTGGCATGAAAATGCTTCTAAATTTCATGCTCAATATCAATTTAAAAGGGGGGAAAGTGCTTATCACACACTGCTTTAGGCACAATCTACTTTGGGCTAAATTGAAATAAGCCATGTCTAATAAATGCTTGTAAAGGAAAGATTCTGAAACTAACTTATGTGTAAGTACCCTTATCCTTAAAACAAATACAGTGGTGCCTCACATTACGACGTTAATTCGTTCCAGCGAAATTGCTGTAGAACAAAAACATCGTAAAGCAATTTTTAAAAGCCCGTAGAAACGCATTAAAACCCGATTAATGCATTCCTATGGGCTGGAAACTCACCGTCCAGCGAAGATCCTCCATAGCGCGGCCATTTTCGCTGCCTGTGCAGCGAGGAATCCATCCCAGAAAACAGTGGGTGGCCATTTTGTTTACCGGCGGCCATTTTGAAACCGTCGATCAGCTGTTAAAAACAAGCAATACCAAAAATGTAAATTAAAAAAAACAGGAGCCCAATTTTTAATTTTTGACAATCAGCCTGCCTGACAGGAAAACCCTTGGCTTACTTGCAGAAGGTCAGCAAAAAGGGGACCAGCCTGGCCTCCTCCGAGAAGGACTTCCATGGCTTGGCAGAAGTAATAGAGAAGGCCCTCTCTCATGTCCCCACCAAATGCACCTGTGAGGCTGGAGGAACCAAGAGAAAAGCCACCCAATGGTTTGAAAAACTGGCCAAGGTCATAAAGGGACATGTGATCTTTCAGAAAGCTTGGACCCAAGTCATTTAGGGTTTTATAGGTCAAAACCAGCACTTTGAATTGTGCCCAGAAACAGACCGGTAGCCAGTGGGACTGTTGTAGCAAAGCAGTTCTGTGATCCTTTTGATGAGCTCTATAAACAATCTTTCCAAAGTCAGTCCGACGTAGAGCATGTTCCAGTAATCTCCATGGGATGTAACTAAGGCTTTTGTTGCTGTAGACAAATTTGACATCTTAAGGAATGGACTCTAACTGTATGGATGCACTCCTAGCCACTAAGATGTCAACATTTGAGGGACAAATCCAGGAGAAATCTCAAGCTCTAAACCTATGCTTTCAAGGGGAGTGTAACCCCATACAGCACAGGTTGATGCCCCATTCCTTGGTCTGCTTTTTGAATGACCAGGAGTATCTTGGTCTTGTGGTTGTTGTGGGTTTTTTGGGCTTCTTGGCTGTGTTCTGAAGGTGGTTTTTCCTAACGTTTCACGAGTCTCTGTAGCCGGAATCTTCAGAGGACAGCAAACTGTGCTCTGGTGTAGTTTGGCTAGGGCGTGGAGTATTTATGGCTGTGAGTTGGGATGATTAGTGTGTATTGTTGTGGGTGTATTGTTTTCTGTGGATGGGTGATTTGTGTGTTTTGTTGTGGGTGTATTGTTGTGATAAGGAGATTATCTGTCACTGTGGTTGATGGTAGTGATCCCCTTGACCTTGTGGTGGGTTAGAGTTCGTGACCTTTTGCA